CTAATGTATTAAAGTAACATTCGTGATGTTTTCATTAATTTTGTAATTGTACATCTGAAACAAATGTCAGAATTTTGCCTCCAGTAGAATGGATCATTTTCACCTAGTTCTGATTTAGAAATGCAAATCACAAGATTATAACAGATACCTCTGGTGTTTTTGCAAACTTTGAAGTTAACTAACATAGCATACTTCTTACTCAACAGGGTAGTTTCAATGGAGACTTTTATCTAGTGAATTGAACTCATTAATGACCATCAGTTAAAATATCAGATTTGACTAAATTATTTAGGAAAATAATTCTGATTCTCATACAATATTAGGCCTTACACTGCAATAGCTCAAATAGTACAATTTCAGTAGGAATGAAAGCAGGGACAGTACTATAGTAGTAGTGACATCATGACGAATAATCCACATGTATTTAGCACAATTATGGAAAAAGACAAAAAATAAGTGTGGAGGCTCTAAGTTGGAGGAAGGCTAATTTTACTACGCTGAGAAGTGACTTAGCTAAATTGGATTGAAATAGCTTCTTGAAGGTTAATCATTGTCAGAGCAATGAGGCTTATTCAAGGAGGAGATTTAATGGGCTTGATGAAACATCTTCTATACAGAGAACATAAATGAGTTTGTCACATCTAGAACCCTCTTCATAACAAGGTATATAGAGGGCAAGAGAAAGCAAACAAAAATAAATCTTATGTCAGCCACTGACAGTTTAATACTGCAAAATACCATGAAGAACATAGAAAATACAGAAAAGGGGTGAATTTGACTTCGAGTAGATCGATCACCAGCTCCATATTAAATATATCAAAAGATTATTGAAAGAAATGAAATGGAGGTTCTAGTATTTAGTTATAGGTGTGGTATCCGAGGATTGATACATTGCTAATGCTGTTCCATTGTTTATCATTTTTTTAATATTATACAGCTGTGGGGGACTCAGTTATAGTTGATGTTGATGATGACGTCAAGTACCTATTCATGATGTGGAGGTGCCAGCGTTCAACCGGGGTGGACAAGGTCAGAAATCACATGACACCACGTTATAGTCCAACAGGATTATCAGGTGAAGGAGCAGCGCTCGAAAGCTTGTGATTTCAAACAAACCTGTTGGACTATAACTTGGTATTAAGTATTTATTCAATAACTTCAGCTGATGCAGCATGAACAATTTTGATTCTGTCAAGAACAGATCACTTAGGACAGGTGTTCAGCTGTGTTTAAAAGGTAAGCAAAGTAATTACATACCATTTTGCTTAACTTTTGATGTGAAAAATCAATTCCAAGGGACAGTATCAATTTTCATTTAGAAAGGCACAGATTAATTAACGAAAGTCAGCATGAATTTGGTAGAAAATGGTCAAAACAACATACTATGAATGCTGAAAAAACTCAGATCAGATAACATTTGTACAGAGAAACAGTTAACATTTTGGGTCAAATATCTTTCAACAGACAGCAATATGAGTTTTGAAGCCAGTGGTAGGGCAAAGGGGCAAGGAGAATAAAATGGAAGCTCTCTTTGGTAAAGGCCAAGGGAGATTAAATTACAAAGGACTGCATGATCCAACACCTAAAAGAAGAGTGGTAAGCGATTATGTAAAGAAACAAAGTGTGCGTTCACGTAAGGTTTGCATGACTGTATAAAAATTTGAATTCAATAAGAGGTAAAAGGGAGAAAGGAAATAGGACCAACCCAGCAAAACAACAAAAGAAACATGAAACAAAATGAAGGCAGTGGTTACGATATAAATGTGTTGAAGCTTAATTTGGAAGTTATTGGAGTATGAATTCTAAAGTGCAGTTCCTCAAGTTTGCACTGAGTGCCAATGGAACATTGCAGCAGGTCATGGATGGACAGATCTGCAAAGAGCAAGGTGGTGAATTAAACCACGTTTTCTTTTACACAGACAGGAGTAGTGCCCAGCTAATAATGCATTCTGCAGTCTGGATGAGGAAGTGGTAAGGCATAATAGCTGACTCAGCCTCCCAGCTCCTGGAAGGGCACCACACCAGCTGGAGAGGGCCAACCAGTGAGGTCCTGATTCTTGCAATGATGAGGGTTTGACATGGCAGTTGACTTCAATTTAAGTCTTATCTTTCCTGATCCACACACTCTTCAGTCAGAGACCTCCAGTCCTGGGTCACCACATTGAATTGTTTGGCAATGCCAATTTGCAGACTAGCTCTGCTGCTTCCACCATTTCAAAATTATCTTTGTGTATGTGAACTCTTTAAACCACCTAGAGATGGCATTTAAAGCATTCACAGCCAAAATTAAATGTATCTACAATTTATTAATTGTGTACAAGTTTTAATTAACTGCATGCAAGCATTGGACATTGACTGGAGATTCATTTGTGTGTTTATGAATCAACAGATACAAACAAACAGTGACCATTAGGTGGTACATGCCTTTTATGCATAATTCTGTAAATAACTGCTTACCAAAATGTGTAAAAAACAGCACCAGTTCTGTTCACTAACTAGTTTTTTGAAATGTAATAAAGGACAAAAAAATACTGCAAATAGCAGCAGCCTAGGTATGATGAGGGTGAGGAACACAAAAGTGAAGAAAAAATCCTGGGGAAATTAACTGGGTCTAAAAGTTGGCAAATTTCTCTGATAGCTTACGTTTTAGGATTTTAAAAAGATGGGTGCAGAGCCAGTGCCTGCGCAGGTTCTTATCCTACGAAATTCAACTAGATTCACTGTGGCCTTTCAGAAGGCAAGGAATAAATGTAACATTGCTATTTAAGGCAAAAGGTGAAACATAATTACACAGTGAAAAATACTAAAATCTCTGATTAGGGACTTAGAAACCTAGAAAATCATAAATTATGTTCGCTCTACCTAATAACATTATGCAAGTGCAATCATATTTGACAAACGGTTAGGAATATGCAGCATGGTTTGTGAAAGGAAAATCATGTTTTGCAAATGTATCAAGTGTTTAAGAGTACGACCCGAAGGTTAGATAATGGGGAACCTGTGGATGTAGTATTTGTGGATGTTCAAAAGGGCATGAAAACAAGGGATTTTTTAAATAAGAAATTGAGAAAACCACTGAAATATTCTCTAGAGTTAATTACACTTGCTGACATAACTGTTTTTATAATAGCATAATACTAGATGTGGGATATGCAAGCTGAAAAAAATTGATGAATTACCAGTTTGCTAACTCTATTTGCAAAACATACAAATTTTATGAAGTCAATTTTTGCATAATCAACCTACAGCTTTAAAGTTAATACTTAATATGCTAGTGCATCCTACACAAAGAAGTTTACGGTCAACACAGGAATTTTCATTACTAAATACTTTTTATAACTGCATAGCAGCAAAAGCCATTTAGAACACAAGTTCTTGAGAAGGTTATCTGGTTGGTTATACTCCAGACCTCTTTTCAGACCCCAATTTCTTTCATACTATTGAACCTGCTTCCACAATCCTAAATCAAGAGTTTCAAGAAAAACACACCTTAGCTTTTTCTCTTACTTACACAACCACAAACTGGCTCATTGCAGCTTGCCTAAAATATTATCTAGTGTAAAAAAGCAGAGAGGAGTTAAACAGAAGCATATATGGGTTAGCAGTTACATCCTTACTGACTAGCTGAATATCATGCATATATGGCCTGAAAAAAAAATCTTTTCATAATATTAGAGGTACAGAACGTCCACCCTAGAGAGATACTTGATTAGTAAAATTGCTGTCTTCTGTTGTATTGGCTATCTGATTGAATTGATTGATTTTAATATCTGATAAGTACATTAAAAAGGATAGCAGAAATAAAAATGATAATAAAATGGCACATCACAAACTTTCAATCTACTTTCTGGTGGATGCACGTTTTGAGTGTAACAAATTGCTAAGTTACCTACAGTACTCTTGCAAGAATTAAGAATTACTCATGGCAGTTTAGTTGATGGTTTTTATTATTAAGGACAACCAACATTATGATATTGCTGTCTTGATGTTTCAGTCAAATAGCTTTGTGTTTCTTGAACGCATACAAGAAAATCTCTTTAAAAGTAACAATTACAATCTCCACTTGCAAAACAGCAAAATATTGGTGGCACATGCTTAATCCAATTGATGTTTCCTACATCCCTTGACCTACAAGCAGCTCAGGAGGGTGTGTACGCATTATGCTCTTCCTACCATTATTAGTCAGAATCTTGTCTGAAATCTTGCTAGTCATAATTTTACTGGTACTTGCAGCATGGCAACATGTAGCTTTTCACTCTATTGAAATTTACTAGGAAGAAAATGCAATAGGTGATATCTCCTAAAAATAGGACTTAACAATTTAGAAGTAGACCATTTAGTCCCATGGGTCTGCTTTGCGATTCATTGATCGGACTGTAATCACAAATCCACATTCCTACTGACGCCTGATAACTCCTTTGCTTAACAAGCACCTATCCAACTGTGTGTTAAATCTACTCAAAGGACACTGCTTTCACCACCTTTTCATGAAGAAAGTTCAAAAGATTCACGACTTTTGAAGAGAAAAGATTTTGCCTCATCTGTTTTAAATGAGTGAATACTGATTTTTAAAAAGTGACCCCCAGTTCTAGATCTAGATCTAGATCTAGATAGGGGAATCACTTTTCCACATCTACCCAGTTAAGATCCCTCAGGATCAAGTTGCCTCTTACTTTTCTAAACTCCAGCGGATACAAGCCTAACCTGTCTACTCTTTACTCATTAGACAATTTGCTCATTCCAAGTCTTAGTCCAGTAATCCTTCTCTGAACTGCTTACAACGCATTCGCATCTTTTCAAATCACCAATAAAATACACAGCACTGCAGATGTGGTTTCACCAGTGCCCTGTATTAATTGAAGCTTTCAATTCCCTTTGCAATAAATGACAACATTCTATTTGCTTTCCTAACTATTTACTATTTCAGAAAGCCAAACTGAATGATGTCCCAGTCTTCCATAAATTAAAAATCAATGTTTGTGGCTATGCAGAATAAGTACCTCTGGCCTTGACTGCTGTAGTTGTTATCGTAAGAGTCATAACCTTGGTCTTCATAGGTTGCTCCATAGCCATCACCATATGCCTAAAGTTTCAAAGAAGGAGAATTGTGACTTTACAGTATACTAAAGTTATGATTGAAGGCATTCAAAAAGAAAGAAAATTCACTTTCAATAAAATGAAATTGGCTTTACTAGCAAATATCCCATCAAATCCAACTACAACTGTAATTATTAATTATCAATTATCATTGTACCAGAACAGACTCAGAAGTATAATTAAAGCACACGTTTCTGTCAAACTTTCTTTCATCCTTCTCAGTGGGCACCAGCAACCTTTGGTGCCTTGACCTTGGTCAGATGTCAGTTTAGACAGGAAGGTTTGTTGTTTGTTCAGCTGTATAGCTCAACAGAACAAAGCCTTGATAATTGCAGACATTGATTACTGCATAGGGATGATAAATAGGAGCGCACAGTCATCTCCCACTCCTGCTCATTTGCACTGTGTCTAGTATATCATGGCTGACAGCTAACTGAATAGATCGAGAAATCAAAAATTGTTACATTATGGTTTGCATAGTTCAGCGACACAGTAAATGCTAGGTTGACTTATTGGATCATTTGCACAGTCAAATGATAAACTACTCAAACTTATAATAAAATTCAGCATATAGGAGTTTCACTGGCATTTCTGCCAATTCCTAATTGTCTTTGAGAAGGTGGTGGTTGAACTGCCTTCTTAAATGGGTGCAGTCCATTTGGTGTAGATATACCCACAATGCTGTTTGGGAGCGTCGTCTAGAAGTTTTAACCCTAGCACTGTGAAGGAACAGCAAGATATTTCCAAGTCAGGATGGAGAATGCAAAAGGGGAGAATCACAAGTAGTGATATTCTCAAACATTTGTTACTCTCATCCTTGTAGATGATAGTGGTCATGAGTTTGGAAAGTGTTATTTGAAGAGCTTTGGTGAATTTCGGCAGTACATTCTTGTAAGTAGTATGCACTTGTTAATACCCATTGGTAATGGTGGGAAATGGATGTTTGTGGTTGCGATGCCAATCAAGGGGGCTGTTTTGTCCTGTACGATGTCAAGATTCGTGTGTGCTGATGGAGGGATTCATCCAGACATTGGGGAATATTCTATCAGATTGCTGACTTGTGACTCCCAGATGTTGGACAAGTGTGAGGAGTCAGCAAGTGGGTTGCTTGTTGCTGTTGTATCCCATGCCTGCTATTGTAGCCATGGTATCTATGCGGTTTGTCCGGTTCAGTTTCTGCTTTAATGGTAACCCTCGGGATACTGAAAGGAATTCAGCAAAAGTAATGCTAATGAACATCAAGGGGGACAATTAGATTCCCTCTTGTTGGCAATAGTTATTGCCTAGCACTTATATGGCACAAATGTCAATTTTTAAAATTTATTCATGGGATGAGAGAATCACTGGCTAGGTCAGCATTTATTGCCCATTCCTAATTGCCCAGACGGCGGTTAAGAATCAACCACATTGCTGTGTGTCTAGAGACACATGTGGGTCAGAGCAGGTATGGATGGCATTTTCCTTCCCTAAAGCACATTAGTGACCACATGGGTTTTTCTTGACAATCGGCAATGGATTCATGGTTATCATTAAAAACTTTTAATCCCAGATTTTTTTAAAAATTGAATTCAAATTCCACCATCTGCAGTGGCAGAATTTGAGCCCGGGTTCCCAGAACATTACCTGAGTCTCTCGATTAACAGTCCACTGATAACACCACTGGCCATCAACCCTCCAAATTGTCACTTGTCAGTCAAATCTGGAGATTGTCCTTGTCTTGCTGTATTTGGCTTTGGACTGTTTCAGGTTGAGGTTTAGCAAATGGTGAAGAAAACTGCAATCATCAAACATTGGAGTTTTGAAGAAGCAGCTGATGAACATTTGGCCTAGGGCACTACCCTGAAGAATTCCTGTAGTGGTGATGCTCTGGATTTGCGACGACTGATCTTCAACAAAAACCTCTGTGCTTAGTATGAATCCAAACAGCAGAAAAACTTCCCCCTAATTCCCAATGACTACAGTGCCTTGATAACAAAGGCAGTCACTCTCATCTCTGAAGTTCAGCTTATTTTGTCCATGGCTGCGAATATGCCAGGCCACGAGGTTGCAGATTTCTGATAAATACAAATGCTGAAGCTGCTGACAGCCAACAGCATCTCAAACATGCCCAGTCTTGATTTATTATGTGTCCAAAATCAGCCCCACTTAAAATAGCGCTTGTATCTGACAACACAATGAAGGGTATCCTCAGTGTGAAGATGCAACTTTGTCTCTGCATGGATTGCATGATGGCCACTCTCATCAATACTGTCTTAGACAGATACATTTAGGACATAACCAGCTTGGTCAGTAGTTATATTACTCATCTACTCTCTGATGTAGACAGGGCACACTCTACATTAGCACTCCGTATGTTCTACACCATTACCACTCTCATTGCTTCCTCCAAGTGATGTTCAACATGAATATGTACTGATTCATCAGCTGAGGGGGATGCAGTACCTAGTAGACAGCAGGAGATTTCCTTGCTCATGTTTGACCCGATGGCAGGAAACCTCATGGGGGTGGAGTTAGTACTGAGGGAATTGCAGGGCAACTCTCCTGACTGTACATCACTGTGCCCTCACTTGCTGGATTAACCTGCCAATGAGACAAAACATAAATGGATGGTGATGGCAGGATCTGCAGCAATTTTTTTAAAAAAAAGTAGTTCTGAAAAAAAAAACTGAAAGGAATGAAACAACAGAGTGGCTTGCTAAGCCATTCCAGAAGGTAATTATGAATGCTGTGGGTCTGAGTTGCATGGAGGAGAAACCAGGTCAGGATGGCAGATCTCCTGCCCTAAAGCACACAAAAGCGAATCAGATGGGTTTTAAATAGCAAATCAACAATGTTTCATGGTTATTGTTAGACTTCTAGTTCCAGATTTCATTTTACAGAATTTAAATTCCACTGACTGCTATGGAGGAATTCAAACCCAGGGCTTCAGCACATTAACTAGGTCTCTGAATTACCATCCAACGACAATGCCACTATACCACCACTTTCCCCGATTTGTACCTTCCTAGAGCATTCAGTTTAACCTTATTCTTGTAAAAGAAGTTCACATCAGTGCTAGTGAAAGAGTATCACGTTTATACCAACTATAACATAACATGCATATTTGAATTGATTCGATGCAGCAGTTCAAATTCAAGTGCAAAGCATTTATTTTTTTAAAACAGTGGTCTAATTGAAGGTCGCACATTAGGCGGCTGTAGCAGCATTTTAAACAGACAAGAATAGAGAATGTTTCTATTTATACAAACACAGCAGAATGACATGTCTTTGCTGTGGCAACATTATTGAAGTGGGAGGCACAGGCAATTACCAAAGCTTCTGTGCAAGTTTCTGAAGTGTATATAGCCACAGCTGAAAATAATAATTCACATTAAGAACATGAACTATTGAATCAGAAATTAAAATTATGTAGCTCCTCTATGCAACTGTATAGTGTTTACTAGAGTTAACAATACTTTTCTCTCAAAACAGACGCTAAAATCCTCCCATAAAAATGTTCAATTAAAAGTTCAATAGAACAATGACAAGTAAAATCTAAAAGTGTAATTTTCAATAAAAGGGACAAGTCTTTTTTTAAACAGCAATAAATGAGGTTATAAATTATAAATTTGGAAACAAGTGGAAAAATTAATGTTAAGAAGAAAACAGAAAATAAACCATTGTTGCAAGTGTGTCACCCCACCAACCTCCAGATCCAACGCATCATCCTCCGACACTTCCGCCATCTGCAATCCGACCCCACCACCAAAGACATCTTTCCCTCCCCACCCTTATCTGCTTTCCGGAGGGAC